CGCTGTAATATGGAAATACGTCATTCGAGAGGATACGACGGATATCTGGCCGGACAGAGAACGGGCCAAGGAGCGCAGACGCGGCAGCTGAGAGCAGAATGTGAGGGCAGGATACCTCGATCACGAGGCCGTATGATTGGTTTATAGATTACCATGCATTTGCTCGAGGACGCCAGTGACGAGCCCCACGCTGGTCATGCTTATTCGCCGATACAGAATATCTCCGTGAGAGGAGAGTGAATTTTAGCTCGATTTCATCATTATTATAACGATCCGTAACGTTAACGTTTACGCAGTATTAAAAAAGTATTGATGCAGATCAAAATCTCGCATTAATTCAAATATATTTCTAATGTTCCCCTAATAGCACGCCATATCCGAAAGACAGTCTTAGGATATCCAGAGAACGATCGAACATTCTCAGGATGTTCTGTGAACGTCTTCGGGATACGTGCGCTGTTAGGGGAGCCAAAATTTGACTGGCGATTTATTTTCGCGGGATAGTCGAATTTCCACGGGAGTCGGGAAGCAAGATATCGCGGGCTCATAGGTCTCACTGATCGGCTCGTTCAATCAGCATACCCCCGGCAAATGAGCAATAGATCGGTGACGTGCATACACATCGATCGTGCGTATGTGTGTGTGTGTGTGCGCTGCGTACACACACACACACACACTATTCGCTCGTATACGCATACGTAATCCACAGCGTGACTATTAGTCGTAAGTCAATAATAAAGCCCTTGTCCTGCCGCGGCCTATAATGGCCGCGGTGAATTATTCTGGTCGGGATGCATTGTCCTGGTCGGGTCTCTCGGCCGGCTTGGAATTGTCGGCGAGGCACGCACACACGATATAACGCGGGAGCATATGTGCGCGCCGAATGCGTGGCTGTTTGCGCGTATGACGCGCATAATTGAGATGGATGTCGATTGATTCGCGGCCGGGTTTCGTTCGCGCGAGGTCCGCCTATTGGCAGCTCATTGCTAACACTCAAGTAGTGGACTCAGTTTCCACCGTGGAATCTTGTAGTGTAGTGATATATGTCGTATTTAGTTTACTCATTTTATAACATCGAGGATGAATTTTGTACTTTATTAAATATCGAATTCGAGATTCGAAATATGATCGATTGTTTTCTGGATAAGAATTTTTTAAAATGCTTGGAATAATATAGTCTCCAAATTTTTTAATCATATATTTTCTCAAATAATCATTTAATTTTAATTATTAAATAGAATTAGGCATATTTGTGAAGAAATTTTCTTTAATTAAACTAAATATAAAAATGTCAGAGCAGTGTTAATTAAATAGTTTATTAAATACTTTGTTAAATATCAAATTCAAGATTCGAAATATGATCGATTGTTTTCTGGATAAGAATTTTTTAAAATGCTTGGAATAATATAGTCTCCAAATTTTTTAATCATATATTTTCTCAAATAATTATTTAATTTTCATTATTAAATAGAATTAGGCATATTTGTGAAGAAATTTTCTTTGATTAAACTAAATATAAAATGTCAGAGCAGTGTAGGAAAAGGGAAATATTTAAATTTATAAGTATGAAAATAAGTTTGAATATATTATGCATTTTAAATGTTAATTAGAAATTGCTTTATCAAGTTTTTGAACATTTTTTTAAAAACTTTCTTTGAGAAATTAATATTATTTGCGCCATGAAAACGCAATTTGTGAGTTTTCTGTTTGTTGTCAATAAATTGTTCGCTATACTATAATCGCGAGTCGCGTGATCGAATACGCGAAAAGAAAGTTTTCGCACAAATTGCGCACTCGAGAACGGTCCTCAAAAGGATTCTGTCGCTTCTCCTTTCCGTATCTTCCTATTATTTCTTGCTCGAAGAGATAAACTTGATTATCTGATATACGTTTTTCGACATCAGTTTCTCACTCGCGTATTTCCTATACTTTCCTTTCGTTGGAAATAGATCTGTAACGACTTTTAAATCAATCCGGAGCTTTATCAAAGTTTACTCTCTGTGGACTTTATTAAATAATCCACCAATAAAATTTACGCCGTCATTACAAACTTTGTTTGATTGGTTGAAATGTTAATAATAGAAATTGCGCTTGTGGCTTCTTTGCTCTTTGTAAACAGAAGTGCAACTGCAATTTCGATTAATCGTATTTTCTTTAGCCGGTAGATATCCTTGTTAACCTGGGGCTCAAATATATATATGGACGCCACATGTCCGCAGGGTGTATTTATGTAGATACCGGCCGATGTAACGCGCAAATATAGCGTATCAAGCAGATTATGTCACCGCTAAAATTACCGTCATCGACGAGTGGACACTGTCGATAAATATCCACCTCCTATCACGATTATTTCGCTTGTCGATATAATTCTATGTGTTCCCCGGTTGTATATTTTACATCTATCTCTACACATATGAATTGTTGAGCGCGAAACACTTTAAAAACACATTTTGTGTAAAATGCAGCTTTTGTATTTTTTTAATGCTACGAAAAGCTAAAATTACAATTTCCTGTTTTTTTTTTTTTTTTTTTTTTTTTTATTTTATCTTATTGAAAAATTGTACACGGAAACTAATGTGTATACGTAAAGATTTTATTTCAATTTATTTTTATCGCAATAATTATTCGTGCGTCACGTTTACGTTCACTCGGTGTCAAAAAGAAAAATTCATTGTTACGATCGCAGAGTCGTCCATCGGTTAAAGTCTGATATCGATAACGGGACTCTCGAAGGGCGGAGATCGGCGCCATCGATTCTCGCGATTCTACAAAAACGTCAAAGAGATCGCTGGTTTGATGATGAACGATTGTAGGTTGCCCGCTGGAATGGCGGGCCGGCCCCAGTAGTCTTTAAAATATTCAAGCGAGAGTGTGTTTGACGGCCAATCGGAAAGGACGAAAAGTCGCGCTGGACTCGCCGGGACTCGCTCTTTCGAATTCGGCTCTTTTATCCCGTGGAACTCACCCCCAGAAGCCCAGCTGGTCCGCAGCCAGTTCGATGGATCGCGAAGGGAGGAAAGAAAAAAAAAAGAGTTGGGCAGAGTGTGGGTAGGGGAGAGGAAAAAGGGCCTATTGTGTTCTTCAATGACAATCGCCGTGGCCGACGAACATTTGATCGAATCAATCGATTGGTTTCTATGGTTCTTCTAAACATTGCCGGGGCGAAAGAGAAAGAGAGAGAGAGAGAGAGAGAGAGAATACACGAAGGAGAGAAGAGAGTGCAAGTGGAATAGCCTCTCTATGGATTACGGTATAGAGCTAAAGGGATGAAGAGATAGAGAGAGAGAATCAAAGAGAGAGAGAGAGAGAGAGAGAGCGCTGTCAGAGCGAAGAGCGAGAGAGGGATTCTGGAATATCCAGTAGCTCCGGGCTCATTTGAATCAGACGCTCAATAATGTCCCTCAGGAGTACCGAAATATCTCAATATGTGTATATAACGTCGTGTTGCGGTGTGGCTTACGATCTCTAGTGATATTTGCTCCGGCAGTGCCATCCATCAAGGTCGCATAATACAATTCATCGGGATCGTTGACACATGCAGAGAAAGCTTCGATAATAATTTTCACCGTCGCTGATAACGATTGGCAAGTTAATCCAGAGGTGATCAGTCAAAAATTTATCTCTTTAGTGAAACTGCTTTAATACTGCGTTAATAATTTATGCGTATACAATATATTATATTTTGTACAAATCAATTTTCACTTAGAAATGCATTTCATGAAATTACAAATCTTGTTGATATTAAGGAAAAAAAAAACGTATTTTGCGAAGTCTGTTTTATGAAATCTATTTTACGAAATCTATTTTGCAAGAGATACGACAAAAAGAATGTAGAAAAGTATATTCCGCCCATATGATAACACGATAAACTGTCCCGAGGACACTGCCGGCAGGATTCGGTTTGCTTGGTAGCAACTGGGGAAGTCACAGGCAAAGAGCAACATTCGCCCGGAGGGATGGATTTTCCTGTTGGAAGTGAAGTTTAGAGGTCGGGAAATTAGTTTAGTTATGCGCCCGGCAGGGACGCCTCTTACGTTTCCACTACGGACCTAAGATCTCGTCGGAGCACGTACTAAGACTCTCCTTTTCTCTCTCTCTCTCTCTCTCTTCTCTTTCTCCGTCAATTCACTTCTGGCTCTCTATCTCTCCTTTAGTCTTCGTAAACTTTTTCGAGTCTTTTCTTTGGTCCACGCTCTTCTTCCCGTGAATCCTGAAGAATCGAGCCGGCTAGAGCGGCTCTTCAGGAATCAATCGAGGGAAGAGAAGGAGAGGCGTGGAAGGATTTTCCGGAGTGAGAACAAACCGAGCGAGCGAAGAAGAGCGTCTTCAAGTACGAAGTAGCAACTACCCTCCATTGAGGACTGTTGCTACTCGCTACTCCAGAAACAGCTGGCAGACGAAGACGTCATTGACTCGAGATCTCCGTCTCTTTCCTCTCTCGTTCTCTTGCGCGCGCGCGTACAGATTTTCTCCAACTATCGAGCGACTTTAAACACGCTCGTTATAAGTGCCGCTTTGTTCGCTACTTCGCGCTCGAGTGCTATTTGAAATTTAAAACGTTAACGGGGCACTCTGAATGGTAGAAATTAAGTTCCGCTCGATGACTTTATCCAATTGCAAAGTATTACTTTCTGCGACAGATAAATTTCTGTATATGGATGCAGCATGCAGAAAAAGTTTTGAAAATTATACTGCATTTGCACGTCAAAGAGAAACGACGTATTTTTGTGTAAAGTAATGTTGCATCTAAATGATACATCTTTGCAAATAATTTTTTATTGGATTTTTGGAAGAATAAATATATTATTTAATATAATATATATATATATATATATATATAATATATTAAATATATTATAATATATTATAATTATTTAATATAATAAGTAAATTATTTAATATATTCGGAATTTTTAATTATAGCTATTTATTGAATAATCATATTAAATAAATACGCATTCGTGCGCATCTGTTTCTGTGCATTTATAATTATATTGTACCTGGGAATCTTCCTCGGTAAAGATAGCGTCGAACGCAAACATCTTCGGCGCCGCCACAGTAGGTCGTCGATCTTCTGCCGATGAAGATTGCCCGGATGCTGGGTCTACTAAGGTAACTTGCTTCTTCCGCTTATCCGCGTTGAAAAAGCTGCCTCCGTCTCCAGACGACACCCTCAGCATGACTTTTACCTGGAATATGAAAAATTTCAATTAAATTTCTTTTTATTAAGATTAATGTGTGTGATAAGATTTTAAATCGAATTAAATATTAAATTCGAAATACAAGTTACGAGATGCTCAATATTCAAGACTAATTTAATAAATTCAAGATTAATTTAACAAATTGCATTCTAAGATTAAATAATATAGGAAACGAGATTTCCTTTTTTTCTGTTCTAATCATTTTTTTTTTTTTATATCAGAGTATGTTCAAATATATATTTTAGAGTGATATGATAATCACATTATTCACTTAACAGCAAATATATTTAACTATCAAATAGATTGCGGACATTACTGTAGTTAACAATAAATGCATCAATCATTATGAAATTGATTTAGTTTTGCAATCTACCAATTGGACAGACAGTAAATTACATTTGGTGACTAAAGATAAAGCTTTCTCATCACACTTAAGCGCTCAGTGAATTCGCTTCAATAAGTTAATACTGTATAATGAATTAGCTCCTCGCTCTCTCGTCGAATAATGCGCTCATCAAAATTATCTGATAGACAGTTTCTGCCAAGTGAACGTCAAGTCTAAAATTACTGTGACCCACGGTCAATGAACGAGCCATGGAACTTATTTGAATGCACTTTACTGGATAAAATTAGTAAACTAGAAAACTGTGTTAATAAACAATCATATATATATATATATATATATATATATATATATATATAAATTTACAATGATGCTTCCATCAATTATATTATTATATGCAAATATTATGATTAATGTAACATGACATAATTAGTGTAGAAATATAATATATATAATAACTCATTATCCATGCTAAGTTATGTAAGTTGCATTATGCATAACTACATTTCAAATTTAATTGAAACATTTACATTGCGGGTTTTTTTCTCAGGCATAATTATTTATATATATATATATATATATATATATGAATATATGGATTGTTTTTTACGCAGAGTTAATTTCAGTTCTATGCGAATCGAGAAATAATTTATCATCGTAAAAAGTGAGAGAAGAGATTAAATGATGAACGATCATTTCGCAATTTTAAAACGTTGAACGCGCGACATTTAATTACGATATTCGATGGATGCCGGGTAACACGATAACGGAGAAATGCATGTATCCCAAATACGCGAGAAGATATTTAAGTACTAGCCTCTCTCTCATCGTGAAATCGAATATCGCTCGCAAATATCGAACGTATAGTTGAATGTTCAGATAAACAAGTTGTTTATTAAAAATAATAGATGAGTCTGCGACCCCACTTTTCTGTGGCTTTTAATATTCTGCAATTTTTTGTTAATTCAATATTTTGCAAATGATCGTAGCAGATATTCTCGCTTGCATACATGAATTATTTTTCTTGAGAGAGTTTTAACGTTTTATCAATTCCCATATTTTTCTCCAAATTTTATTCCTCAATTCTATATTATTCTCAGTATTCTAATAAATGATTTTACATCACAAAGCAAATAATACCGATTATACGATGTGTAATACGATCTGATAATATTTCTGCGAGCTGGGGAAAATTTTTTTCAACGAATAACATTGCACGAATGCAATCGAGCGTATAATAATAACACCGACTGAAAACCGTGAAAAGGGAGAAAATGTGTATGGAATGGCATATTAAGTTGTTCTTCCAGAGAAAAAAAAAATTCTTCAATTATTCTTATCTACGATTTGCGTCTCATATTTTACGTTCGCGCGTGATTTAAACGCGAACTCGAAACGTATCGACCGATAAGACGCGCCGCACGCGTTCTTCCGCGCGAAGTCACGGCGATACGATGTATTATTAAAGCCGCATCCGGCACCCTGGGGGTACACCCAGATCGATGTCGTCGGGTACCGTGAACAATCCACGGTTTGTTCGCGCAACACACACACACACACACCGCGCCGGTCCGTCCGTCCGTCCGTCCGTTCGTCTGTCTGTCTGTCCAGGAAATTGGGTTTGGAGATTTCGTTCAGATTGCGGTGCACGTCCTATCTTTTGCATGCGGAAACGCTCTCTCCTGCCGCTGCGCGACGACACACAGGTAGAAAAATAGACGCGCGCTTTTTTTTTTTGTTTCTCCGTCCTCCAACACCAACCGAACACTCTTCCTCGGTATTCTCTCCTGCCGCTTCTTGTCTCACTGTAAAATAGTTTCGCGAAAGGACTGCGATGCGGTACTGATCGAGCGACCGGAAATAAAACGGCTCCCTCGACATCGCTGGAGAAATTCTCGTATACATCGATCGCACGAATCTCCTCTCGATGTACTTCACCCTTTCGCGAAGGGTGCTCTCGAAGGTGAGTCCGTCGCCCTCCGGTCCCTTCCGTTTTCCCGAAGCTCGGCTATCTACGAGGTAACCCTACGTGCTTGCCCGCAGCCACGTGGTATTTCGTTACGAAGCTGATTTCAAGGGTGGATATCAGTTCCGCTCGAACGGACCAGGACGAAGGAGGATCGGTCCCCGGGTCCTCGAGGCTGTCGAAGGACACTTCGCGCTTCACGAAAGCCGCTCCGGTTCGCAACGATGACGTTACGGCCATCTCACAGCAATTTGCGGCGTGAAATTCTGAGTTTACAAGGAACCTGCATTAAATTTCAAACCTGTAGCTCGCAAATAGAGGTTTTAAGTATCGAAACGAAAGAAATTGTATAAAATTATTTTGATCCATTATCGAATATTTTATTTTGTCAGAAATGAGAGATAATCAAATATTTTTCTATAAATAATGTATGAAACTTTAATAATGGTGTACGATGATATTTTGAAATTTAATGCCGTTTTCTTGCAAAAAAAAATACAGTTTGAGAAAAAAAACAGCAGAGGATAATTTTCGAGTATATTTGTGCGAGGACGACTTTCATCGTGTCTAAAAACCCAACGCTTGATAGACTTTTACGTACTGCAATAAAATATCCGAAAACTACGTTTCAAAACGGAGGCCTCCTGTAAGCCTGTTTCGTAATCATCAAAGTTGGGACAAGTACAGTCCTCGAAACGGCAAAGGGGGATAGGGAGGGAGGTTTACCGCCACTCTACTCGAATTTATGCATCCTCTCCACGGACTATGAATCCAGGTTTACGCGCCGGTACGTTGGAATTAATTAGTTCGCGGTCCAGCCTGAAACATGTAACTGATTCGGATGGAAACTCGGCGATAAACTGTGATCAACGCGCTAGTGATCATAGAGATCTCTCCAAGATTTATTATAAGGATTATAGGACGACTTAATCCGACGAATAATTTACTGAAGTTATACTCGTCATTCAAATGCTTTCACGAATTGAATATTGATTTTATTTTAAAACTTTAATTTATATGCATATATATTGCTAAGTTTTTCAATTGTGTGTAACGCACATATTAATATTTAACATTAATTATATTTTAATTAATAAAAAATGTTTATAATTAATTTATATATTGGATTCTAAATTTAAAAAATTTATAATATTTCAAATATATAAATAAACTGTAAATTTACTCATTAACTATAATAGGAATAATGTGATGAGTCATATATAAAAAAATATTTTTTTATATATGACAGACCGAATAGTGCTATCGGAAATGGCACTTGCAACGGAAGTAGCGCTTTAATTTTTTAATACCCGAAGGCCGATGAAACGCTTATGTGTCGTATACACGTTAGGTTACAACATATATACGAGTGTTTTATGGCAGCACTCGTCCACGGTATTATCCGCCAATTTACGATCATGGCGCGACGTGTTCGGCGTTTATAAATGAGCGATACGTTGCGCAAAGTTCCATATAAATTCTCGTCGAGCTCTCGATCGGGTCATCGTCTGCGCGATAGAATCAAGCGATGATCGATACCCGTGTCCCGACGATAAACAATGTAACGCGATAAACGCGATATAACACGAAGCAAGATGTCGCTGCAAATTATTTTGAACCGAGAGTGCGACGTTTTTAAAAATGTGAGGAAATGTAGAAAATTAAACGCGCTTACAAAGTGAAAAGTTGACAGTAAAATTCAGTGAAGGACGGGAGCGAAAAAAAGGAAAAGATACAAATACGCGAATTTACGAATAGTACGTTATGGTAAAATGTATACGATAATAAAGACTGTCGAGAATATTTCAAATATATAGAAATATTGAAATATATTAAATAACAGTGATCAAATTATATTTAAATAAATATTGTATATCTCAGATTTTAAGCTCGATTGACATTTGTATGGCGCATAATACAAAGATGTTATTTGTCGCATTTTGTTGCTAATTAAATTATTATTATTACATGAATTTTGCAAAAGAGAATATAATGAAACCTACACGGTGAAATCTCAGTCATATGCCAAGAGTTTATAGTTTGATTCGGCGTTCATAAAGCGAAATTACCCAGTACGAATTCATACAAGTATACCGAATATCAACGATGTTGCGTACTGCTCTACCACCCGTCAAAAGTTTCTTAATGATCCATAATAACAATTACTGAGTACACTGGAGAACCGACGAGACAATACCAGCACGGGTTTACTGCAAAAGTTGAGCGACCTGTAAGGATTTGATAGCAACCTAAAGTACATTCTGTGCGCTTTACGCATATCCATAGAAAATTCAATATTTCAACGAAAGATATGTGTGCTGCAAAAATCTATAATTTTTATTTTTCCATTATTGTTGTCAGAGAAAACGAAAAGCACAAAATATTTAAATTATTTTTAATTAGACAAAAAATATATGTAACAATTTACGACGATTTTATTTATTACAATTTGATCTCTATTATATTCTTTCTTATATGCGAAATTTGAAATTTCGATTTTAATTTTGCGTTCATGAAATCGGGCGCAGACTCGATTATATTTCTTTCTCTGTGACAGCAACGTAAAGTTATTGGCCATTGTTGAACAAAATTTCATTGGCAGATCGCTAAAGCGCTTTTATATGAATATGAAGTATAAAGAGACGCGAATGATAAGAACTAATTGTTGGAGTGTCTCGA